TGAACAGGTGGGACTCAAAACAGGTGGGACTCAAAACAGGCGGGACTCAAAACAGGCGGGACTCAAAACAGGTGGGACTCAAAACAGGTGAGACTCAAAACAGGTGGGACTCAAAACAGGCGGGGCTCAAAACAGGCGGGGCTCAAAACAGGCGGGACTCAAAACAGGCGGGACTCAAAACAGGCAGGGCTCAAAACAGGCGGGACTCAAAACAGGCGGGACTCAAAACAGGCGGGATTCAAAACAGGCGGGACTCAAAACAGGCGGGGCTCAAAACAGGTGGGACTCAAAACAGGTGGGACTCAAAACAGGCGGGACTCAAAACAGGCGGGGCTCAAAACAGGTGGGACTCACCTGCCCTGAATGATGGGTCGCCACTGGTGCTACTTGATCTTGTAACTCAATAAAGGACCGTTCTATTCTATTATTTAATATTCTAGCTGTCTGACTTTAAATCATGACATTCCTCTATTCTCTTCCCCTCTTGGGTTGAATGCATCATTAACTAGGCAACTTGACTAATTGGTATTCAAACTTTAAGCTTAGTAATCAATCAATTAAATTTCCCCCTAAGCAGAAGCATGTAGGAAGTAACACTGTAACATCGATACAACCTAAGCTAACCCCCTAGACCTCCATCTGCTGTAACTTACTAGTATTACTCAAAACACACCACCATGAAGTTTAACCTATTGGCTTATCAAAACCAGCCCAAATCACACCACCATGAAGTTTAACCTATTGGCTTATCAAAACCAGCCCAAAACACACCACCATGAAGTTTAACCTATTGGCTTATCAAAACCAGCCCAAAACACACCCACCATGAAGTTTAAACCTATTGGGCTTATCAAAACCAAGCCCAAAACACACCACCATGAAGTTTAACCTATTGGCTTATCAAAACCAGCCCCAAAACACACCACCATGAAGTTTAACCTATTGGCTTATCAAAACCAGCCCAAAACACACCACCATGAAGTTTAACCTATTGGCTTATCAAAACCAGCCCAAAACACACCACCATGAAGTTTAACCTATTGGCTTATCAAAACCAGCCCAAAACACACCACCATGAAGTTTAACCTATTGGCTTATCAAAACCAGCCCAAAAACACACCACCTTGAAGTTTTAACCTATTGGCTTATCAAAACCAGCCCAAAACACACCACCATGAAGTTTAAACCTATTGGCTTATCAAAACCAGCCCAAAACACACCACCTTGAAGTTTAACCTATTGGCTTATCAAAACCAGCCCAAAACACACCACCATGAAGTTTAACCTATTGGCTTATCAAAACCAGCCCAAAACACACCACCATGAAGTTTAACCTATTGGCTTATCAAAACAGCCCAAAACACACCACCATGAAGTTTAACCTATGGCTTATCAAAACCAGCCCCAAAACACACCACCTATGAAGTTTAAACCTATTGGCTTATCAAAACAACCAGCCCAAACACACCAACCATGAAGTTTTAACCTATTGGCTTATCACAAACCAGCCCCAAAACCACACCACCATGAAGTTTAACCTATTGGCTTATCAAAACCAGCCCAAAACACACCACCATGAAGTTTAACCTATTGGCTTATCAAAACCAGCCCAAAACACACCACCATGAAGTTAACCTATTGGCTTATCAAAACCAGCCCAAAACACACCACCATGAAGTTTAACCTATTGGCTTATCAAAACCAGCCCAAAACACACCACCATGAAGTTTAACCTATTGGCTTATCAAAACCAGCCAAAACCACCCCCATTGAAGTTTAACCTATGGCTTATCAAAACCAGCCCAAAAACACACCACACATGAAGTTTAACCTATTGGCTTATCAAAACCAGCCCAAAACACAACCACCTTGAAGTTAACCTATTGGCTTATCAAAACCACCCAAAACACACCACCATGAGTTTAACCTATTGGCTTATCAAAACCAGCCCAAAACACACCACCATGAAGTTTAACCTATTGGCTTATCAAAACAGCCCAAAACACACCACCATGAAGTTTAACCTATTGGCTTATCAAAACCAGCCCCAAACACACCACCATGAAGTTTAACCATTGGCTTATCAAACCAGCCCAAAACACACCACCATGAAGTTTAACTATTGGCTTATCAAAACCAGCCCCAAAAAACACACCACCTTGAAGTTTAACCTATTGGGCTTATCAAACCACCCAAAAACACACCACCTTGAAGTTTAAACCTATTGGCTTATCAAAACCATCCCAAAACACACCCACCATTGAAGTTTAACCTATTGGCTTATCAAAACCAGCCCAAAACACACCACCATGAAGTTTAACCTATTGGCTTATCAAACCCAGCCCAAAACCATACATGAGTTTAACCTATTGCTTATCAAAACCAGCCCAAAACACACCACATGAAGTTTAACCTATTGGCTATCAAAACAGCCCAAAACACCACCATGTAGTTTAACCTATTGGCTTATTCAAAACCAGCCCAAACCACCCCCATGAATTTAACCTATTGGGTTTTCAAAACCAGCCCAAATCACACCACCATGATTTACCTATTGCTTTCAAACCACCCAACACACCCTTGAGTTTACCTAGTGGCTTATCAAACCATCCAAATCACACCACCATGAGTTTAACTATTGGCTTATCAACAGCCCAATTACACACCATGAAGTTTACCTATTGGGTTATCAAACCGCCCAAACACACCACTTGTAGTTTAACGTATGTGGCTTTCAAACCATCCCAAACAACCACCATGAAGTTTACATATTGGCTTATCAACCAGCCCAAACACTCACGTGAAGTTTAACCTATTGGCTTATCAAAACCAGCCCAAATCACCACTGAAGTTAACCTATTGGCTTATCAAACCAGCCCAAAACCCACTTGAGTTTAACCTATTGGTTATCAAACAGCCCAAAACACACCACCTTAGTTTAAATATTGGCTTATCAAAACCAGCCAAATCACACCACCATGAGTTTAACCTATTGGCTGTCAAAACAGCCAAAACACACCTTGAAGTTTAACCTATTGGCTTATCAAAACCCGCCAAACACACCACCTTGAAGTTTATACCTGTTTGGCTTATCAACAGCCAATCAATGTCTTTCAATGTGTTTCTAGGTATTGAGAAGGAGAAATATGTTTGCGTATGTATTGAATGAATTTTTTATGTATAACAGCTTTCCAGCTGTGTATTAGTAAGTAACATGTATTTCCAGTCTGTTTATGTATGTTAACATGTCTTCCCTCTGCCCCCATACTGTATTTACTATCAGGTCCGGTGTGTTGCTTAGAAACCAGCCATGACTGTCCCAACCGCCTGACGTTCCACACACAGGTGTGGTGTGGTGTGTGTGGTGTGTGGTGTGTGTGCGTGTGGTGTGTGTGCGGGTGTGTTGGTGGTGTGGTGTGCGTGTGCAGTATGTGTGTGCGTGTATGTGTGGTGCGTGTGTGTTGCGTGTGGTGTGTGTGTCTGTGTTCGTGTGTGTGTGTGGTTGTGTGTGCCGCATGTGTGTTGTGTGTGTGTGTGTGTGGTGTGTGTGGTGTGTGTGCGTGTGTGTGCGTGTGTGTTTGTGGTGTGTGTGTGTGGTGTGTTGTGTGTGTGTGTTGTGTGTGTGTGTGTGCGTGTGTGTGGCGTGTGTGTGTGGGATGTGTGTTTGTGTGTGTGGGTGCGTGTGTGTGCGTGTGTGTGTGCGTGTGTGTTTGTGTGGTGTGATAGGTGTGTGTAATGTGTGTGTTTGTTTGTGTGTGGTGGTGCTGTGTTTTGGTTTTTAGTGTGTTGTGTGTGTGTGTGGTGTTTTGTTTTGTTGGGTATGTGTGTGGTGTTGTGTGTGTGTGGGAGCATGAGAATGTCTAGGGCCATGAACTATATTGTTCCCCACAACAACAGCTTTCTTCTTGAAAGTTAATCATAAGGGTTTTCTGTCTCTCTTGGTTTCTATATCTATCAGGTATTAAAAATCATAATCATCAATTTATTAAATCCTTCATTAAAGGGGCAATGGGCAGAAGAAACAATAACAAAGCATGATCTCCGCCCCTGTTTCGGTAAAAAGCTGAGGGATGGGGCTGGAGAAATGTAACCATTATAAACAGAGCTATGAACGACCAGGACTGATCAGTCATGATCTGGTCAGCAGGTGGCAAAGCAGTAAGAGCAGCATTAGGCCAGTAACCAAAAAATGTCGCTAGTTCAAATCCCTGAGCCAAACAAGGTGAAAAACTCTGTCGATGTACCCTTGAGCAAGGCACTTAACTCTAATTGCTCCGGGGTTGCCGTTGATAATGGCTGACTTTGACCCTACTTCCCGAAGGGGGAGTTGGGATATGCAAAAAAATGAAATGGGACAAATAAAAGCACCCCCCAAAAAGTTTTATTATCGATCATTTAACCATGTTTTGAAGCTATATAGTGTTTGTTTACATTTAATTTCTTTACTAACATTGGCGTTAAACAAGCTTCCATTTGGGGTTCTGATGGGGGACGACAGTTGAACTAAGCTCAAGAGGCATTTATAAGTTAAATTCTTCAAGAATCAATGGGTACATATCATTCATTTATAAATCAAAACATAGATGTAATAACTGCTGATTTCCCCTTTAATTCCCAAACGTTAGATTCTAAAATCATCCCTTAGTTCTAGAATTCTCTCCCAGCACTTCATACCGTCATGGACGTTCACCATTGGTCAGCTGTCACCTAAGTCACACCCTCCCCAGGGCCCTTAACCAATAGGACGCTCTATCCCAGATGCTACCTGTCTGCGCCATCTGTCTAGGACTGCATCCCAAATGGTAGCCTATTCCCTATATAGTGCACTACTCTCCTATGTAATGCTCTACTTGACCTGATGACCCTGGTCAAAAGTAGTGCACTATATAGGGAAGTAGTTGCTGTTTGGGACGCGGACCATGCATTGTCCTGTCAGGCACTTGTAGTGCACTTGGTGTGTACTTAGGCTTCGTGCCACACGGTTAGATGTGATTTGGTCGATGGCAGAGGTACGCAGTGAGGTGGAGACTGGTTCTCTGGGTCTAGGAGCCCCACAGCCGGCAGATTACCCCCAGCTACCACACCCTGCTGCAGACCCTACAGTACCTGTGGCAGAGCCCCAGCTTCCTGGAGAACATCCCCTGAAGGTACCTGAGGACCCCCGGCCAGAGGCTGAGCCCGACACCTGTCCACTGCCACCCAGGAGAATGTGGGAGGACAGCTTCGACACAGAGAAGCGAGTTATATTCTATATTCTAGAGGGTTCTGTCTTTGTTCTAATCTAGAGTGTTCTGTGTTATAAAGTGTTCTGTTTCCTGAGTGTTCTAGTCTAGTGTGTTTTGTGTTCTAGAGTGTTCAGTTGTTTTAATATTGAGTGTTCTGTCTGTGTTCTAGTCCAGGGTTTCCCAAACTCGGTCCTGGGTTTTGCCCTATCACTACACAGCTGATAAAATAATCAAAGCTTGATCAGTTGGTTATTTGAATCAGCTTTGTAGTGCTAGTGAACAAACCAAAACGTGCTCCCAGTTTGGGAAACCCTGTTCTAGTGTTCAGTTGTTTTAATATTGAGTGTTCTGTCTGTGTTCTAGTGTTCTGTGTTCTAGAGGGTTCTGTCTATGTTCTGGTCTAGTGTTCTGTGTTCTAGAGGGTTCTGTCTATGTTCTGGTCTAGTGTTCTGTGTTCTAGAGGGCTCTGTCTATGTTCTAGTGTAGTGTTCTGTTTTAATCTAGAGTGTTCTGTCTAGTGTTCTACTCTAGAGGGTTCTGTCTGCGTTCTAGAGTGGGATAGAATCACTGGCAGAAAGCCGTCTTTGAAATTGGTTCTTGTAAGAGTCATTGACAATCGATCATATCAGATCCACATTTCACAGACAGACTACACACACACAGTGGTGTATGGCAATGTGTTAATATTTACTTTATTTATTTAGCTCATTTTGAACTCAGCATTGTTAGAAAGTCAACACCTGTTGTATTTGGCGCATGTGACAAATAAAATTAAATTTGACACACACACACACACACACACACACACACACACACACACACACTACCCCCCCCCCCCCACACACACACACACACACACGCTAACTCTGTGTATTCTCCTCTACCAGCTACTCAGCGGTGTCGTGGAGGCAGTATTTCGACCAATCAGAGGACATCTCAGTAGGACCGTCAGAGACCAGAGATGTGTTCAGGGTCTACAGGAACGGTTCTGATGGACCTCTCCTGGTCCTTCTGCACGGAGGAGGACACTCTGCCCTGTCTTGGGCCGTCTTCACTGTGAGGTTCATCAATACTATCTACGGCTCGGCGCGAACAATGTTCACGCCCCTCTGAGGTTACACGCATACTGCGTTCCACAGGGATCAGTCCTGGGCCATTACTCTAAACTGTCTATACAATATATCCATCATCAATGCTGTTACACACTTTCCATTTCCTGTAAAAAAAAAAAAAAAATGTATGTTTTCTTTCGTTTCTGTCTAAATTGTCCAATGCTGTCTACACATCATCTATAAACTCCTATCCTCATCTCCTGACCAGCGTTTGAGATTTTTCCATTCCTGTTATAATTTCCTGTTTCCTTGTTTATCTGTCGCGCCGTCTCTTCGGTCTCCAGACAGCCATAGCCAACAGGGTGACCTGCAGGGTGCTGGCCATGGACCTCAGGGGTCACGGTGAGTTCAGAGAGCAAAAGGTCGAAAGGTAATCTCAGATGGAACCACGGTTGCATCTGAAACGCCACCCTATTTTGCTTTGTGGGGCACTACTCAGCGAATAAGGTGCCATTTCCATTTTGGATGCACACATTGGGTTTTTTATATGGTCATATCATCAAGACTCTAAAACCCAATGTTTACAGAACCTGTTTACCTCTCTCCAGGTTCCACCCAGGTACGCCAGTCAGATGACCTCTCCACACAGACCATGTCCAGGTAAGAAGATACACACCTGTAAAACATGAGGAAATAACGTTCTGTTCCTCTGCCTCTCACCTGTACCTCACCTGTCCCTCTTGTCCCGCCCCTCCTAGGGATGTGGCCAATGTAGTGCGAGCGTGCTACGGAGAGGCCCCTCCCCCCATCGTCCTGGTTGGTCACAGTATGGGCGGGGCCATCGCTGTCCACACCGCCTCCAGCATGCTCCTCCCCACTACCGTAGGACTGGTGGTGATAGACGTGGTGGAAGGTAGGGCCCAGTCCACACCGCCTCCAGCATGCTCCTCCCCTCTACTGTAGGGCTGGTGGTGATAGACGTGGTGGAAGGTAGGGCCCAGTCCACACCGCCTCCAGCATGCTCCTCCCCTCTACTGTAGGGCTGGTGGTGATAGACGTGGTGGAAGGTAGGGCCCAGTCCACACCGCCTCCAGCATGCTCCTCCCCACTACCGTAGGACTGGTGGTGATAGACGTGGTGGAAGGTAGGGCCCAGTCCACACCGCCTCCAGCATGCTCCTCCCCTCTACTGTAGGGCTGGTGGTGATAGACGTGGTGGAAGGTAGGGCCCAGTCCACACCGCCTCCAGCATGCTCCTCCCCTCTACTGTAGGGCTGGTGGTGATAGACGTGGTGGAAGGTTGGGGGGGGGGGTGTGTGTGTGTTAACCATCTCTCTCTCTCTCTCTCTCTCTAGGCAGTGCCATGGAGATGTTACACAGCATGCAGAACTTCCTGAAAGGACGACCCAAGTCTTTTGAGTCTATCGACCATGCCATAGAGTGGAGGTGAGGAGCGTTCAGCATCACACCACTCTGTAATGTTAGGCAGTGTTTCAAAGACAGTTTATAGAACTATCACGTATTATTATTATTATTATTATTATTATTATTATTATTATCTGTCTGTTCCATGGAGTGCTACGCTATGCTACGTTTCAGGTGTTTCACAGTGTTGGTAGTGCTCTTTCTCAACAGGTTCTGTTCTCTCTCTCTCTCTGTGTGTGTGTCTGTGTGTGTGTGTGTGTGTGTGTGTGTGTGTGTGTGTGTGTGTGTGTGTGTGTGTGTGTGTGCTCTCCTTCAGTGTTAAGAGCGGCCAGATCAGGAACCGGGAGTCAGCACGGGTATCCATGGTGGGACAGATCAAGAGGTAAACCATGCTACTCCTTCTCTAATAGAACCAGAGGACTATACTACTCAGCCAGCTGCCTCACCTAAATATTCGGAAATAACTTGACAAAATCGGATTGAACCAATCAACCACAAAAAAAAAAAAAAAAAAAAAAAAAACATATCTTAGTTAATCTTTCCTAATGAACCAGAAAATCTGTAGTAATTTCTGTTTATCAAAGTTAGCTAGCTAATTTATCGATACCGCTTTGCAGTATACCCAACTTGTTGCTTGTTGTTGTAAAGCAGTAAACTAAATAGCACAGCATTCATATTCAATGTAAACTCGGTTAGTGCTTGGGACGTCCCTACCCTAAAACCTAAACCCCTACCCTCGTCCCCAGGCTATCGCACACAGCGCACACAGTGCATTCAGAAACTATTCAGACCCCTTGACTTTTTCCACATTTTGTTACGTTACAGCCTTATTCTAAAATTGATTTTTCCTCATCAATCTACACACAATACCCCATAACGACAAAGCGAAAATACGTTGTTTTTTTGTGTGCAAATGTATTAAAAATAAGAAACAGAAATACCTTATTTAAATAAGTATTCAGACCCTTTGCTATGAGACTCGAAATTGAGCTCAGGTGCATCCTGTTTCCATTGATCATCCTTGAGATGTTTCTACAGCCCACCTGTGGTAAATTCAAAATGATTTGGAAAGGCACACACCTGTCTATACAAGGTCCCACAGTTGACAGTGCATATCAGAGCAAAAACCAAGCCATGGGGTCGAAGGAATTGTCCGTAGAGCTCAGAGACAGGATTGTGTCAAGGCACTGATCTGGGGAAGGGTACCAAAACATTTCTGCAGCATTGAAGGTCCCCAAGAACACAGTGGCCTCCATCATTCTTATATGGAAGAAGTTTGGAACCACCAACTGCAAACTTCAAGTAGGGAATCTGTGATGTCATCGGCCTCCCCCCTTGCTTGAGGAACAATAGAGGAGCAATAGAGAACAAAAGAGGAAAGCCCCTCCCCCTTGTGTGATGTCATGACTTACCTGGACCACCTATTGAGATGTGCCTTTTAAGTAAATCAGGTGTTAAACCAGGTTAAAAGGAGACTGGAGTGCCGCTTTAACCATTTTAAATTTCAACTTCAATGGGGTGACGTGAGATTCGGACGTTCCAAGGAGCCAATTTAGACTTCTCAAAATTTTCTCACCTGTCCTCTGTAGGCATGTAGAGGTGGAGGATGTTGTTGAATCACCTGAGCAGGCCATCCCTGTTAGTGACGTAGCCGTCGAGGGCAACGAGGAGATCTACGTTGACCCGAGCTACGTTAGCGACAAACCAGACGGTACGCCAGAGGTGAGCATCCCAGAACCCGAGGTAAGAAACCAACGTCCTTTACACACACACACACACACACTAACCACCATTTTGTTTTTGTTTTACTTGTATTTAAACAGGGGACTAGGGACCCATTGAGACTAGGGTCTCTTTCACAAGGGAGCAAATATACATTATCAAAAGACTAAATCAAACAAAAAAATCTAATCTAATATAAAACTAGTAAAATACAAACACAAATATTCAATCAATATTTTAAATTGCCCGAAAGGAACCAGAACATCAAATTGTAAAGTATTGTGTAGTTGGAGCCAGCAATGAAGTGCTTTAAAACTAAAAAGAGGATTTACGTACCTAGTTCGGTGCAGTGTTAATTTCGTCAACAAAAATAGTGACAAAAATATTCGTCCTATTTTTCAGTGGCAATTTATGAGACTATAACTGACTAAATAGACCCAGAAAAAAAACTATAGCTAAACAAAAAATATTTTTTCATTTCAGTTGACTAAAACGAGACGATATTATCCCTGTGACTAAAATCTGACTACTAAATGGACTGGACAATAGTTTTTGGAGAGATTGAGAGCTTTTCAGTGATAAACACATTGAATATTAGCAGCACAGATGCGCAGTGCAGTTCTGTTCAACAGTGGGAAGAACACGCCGGAACACTGCCTACATCAGCTGGGGAGTTACTTTTTTTATATATTTAACCTTTATTTAACCAGGTAAGCCAGTTGAGAACAAGTTCTCATTTACAACTGCGACCTGGCCAAGATAAAGCAAAGCAGTGCGATAAAAACAACACAGAGTTACATATGGGGTAAAAAAACATAAAGTCAAAAATACAACAGAAAATATATATACAGTGTGTGCAAATGTAGCAAGTTATGGAGGTAAGGCAATAAATAGTTACGGGTGATGTGTGGGCAGACAGGCTCTGCCTCCGATTATACAGATCGCGCAGGTGACATCTCTTGCTTCCCCTTAGCTAACCAGTCACCACCAGCCTTCTAGTTAGCTACCCTTTGACTGGTTAAGAAACACAAGCTGCTTTACGGAATTAAAAACAATAGCAGATTTTTCACCTAGTGGGCTCAGGGATTAGAACCAGCGACTTTTCGGTTACTGGCACAACGCTCTTAACCACTAAGCTACCTGCCACCCCATGTAACTGAGTCAGGTTTGAGACAACCGCTTGATTCTGGGCCTTATCGGCTACCGTTCAAAAGACATGACCCATAATACCGGCGCTTTATTTATATCGTGGTGGGATGCATTTTACATTCATAAAGCATATCGTGGGCTGTCCAAAAATATTCTACTTGCGGACCGGAACGTTAACCATTTGTTTAAGCTACACCTTGTTCAGTCTAGTTCTAGCTAACAACCTGGGGTGCGTTCAGCAGGACGCAATGTTTTGGAACCTGCAGATAGAAATATGTTATGTAGAACATTAATAGGGACTAACGTCAGCTCTATTCATGGAAATTCTATCTGCAACGTTGGAGAATGTTTTGCAACTGAACGTAGCCCTGGTAACATTACCAGTAGTCAACTGAACGTAGCCATGGTAACATTACCAGTAGTCAACTGAATGTAGCCCTGGTAACATTACCGGTAGTCAACTGAATGTAGCCATGGTAACATTACCAGTAGTCAACTGAATGTAGCCATGGTAACATTACCAGTAGTCAACTGAACGTAGCCATGGGAACATTACCAGTAGTCAACTGAACGTAGCCATGGTAACATTACCAGTCGTCAACTGAACATAGCCATGGTAACATTACCAGTAGCCAACTGAACGTAGCCATGGTAACATTACCAGTAGTCAACTGAACGTAGCCATGGTAACATTACCAGTCGTCAACTGAACGTAGCCATGGTAACATTACCAGTAGCCAACTGAACGTAGCCATGGTAACATTACCAGTAGCCAACTGAACGTAGCCATGGTAACATTACCAGTAGCCAACTGAACGTAGCCATGGTAACATTACCAGTAGTCAACTGAACGTAGCCATGGTAACATTACCAGTCGTCAACTGAACGTAGCCATGGTAACATTACTAGTAGCCAACTGAACGTAGCCATGGTAACATTACCAGTAGCCAACTGAACGTAGCCATGGTAACATTACCAGTAGCCAACTGAACGTAGCCATGGTAACATTACCAGTAGCCAACTGAACGTAGCCCTGGTAACATTACCAGTAGTCAACTGAACGTAGCCATGGTAACATTACCAGTAGCCAACTGAACGTAGCCCTGGTAACATTACCAGTAGTCAACTGAACGTAGCCCTGGTAACATTACCAGTAGCCAACTGAACGTAGCCATGGTAACATTACCAGTAGCCAACTGAACGTAGCCATGGTAACATTACCAGTAGCCAACTGAACGTAGCCATGGTAACATTACCAGTAGCCAACTGAACATAGCCATGGTAACATTACCAGTAGCCAACTGAACGTAGCCATGGTAACATGACCAGTAGTCAACTGAACGTAGCCATGGTAACATTACCAGTCGTCAACTGAACGTAGCCATGGTAACATTACCAGTAGCCAACTGAACGTAGCCATGGTAACATTACCAGTAGCCAACTGAACGTAGCCATGGTAACATTACCAGTAGCCAACTGAACGTAGCCATGGTAACATTACCAGTAGCCAACTGAACGTAGCCCTGGTAACATTACCAGTAGTCAACTGAACGTAGCCATGGTAACATTACCAGTAGCCAACTGAACGTAGCCCTGGTAACATTACCAGTAGTCAACTGAACGTAGCCCTGGTAACATTACCAGTAGCCAACTGAACGTAGCCATGGTAACATTACCAGTAGCCAACTGAACGTAGCCATGGTAACATTACCAGTAGCCAACTGAACGTAGCCATGGTAACATTACCAGTAGCCAACTGAACGTAGCCATGGTAACATTACCAGTAGTCAACTGAACGTAGCCATGGTAACATTACCAGTAGCCAACTGAACGTAGCCATGGTAACATTACCAGTAGCCAACTGAACATAGCCCTGGTAACATTACCAGTAGCCAACTGAACGTAGCCCTGGTAACATTACCAGTAGCCAACTGAACGTAGCCATGGTAACATTACCAGTAGCCAACTGAACGTAGCCCTGGTAACATTACCAGTAGTCAACTTTATCGTTAGGAGTTTTACAGAAATGTTTGGTGATCGACTAGGAATGTCTTGGAGATGGAGCAGTCGATCGCGATCGACCGGTTGGTGACCACTGATCTAGAACAAGCGTAGCAGCTGAAACGGTGCTGCTGTCCAGGTATAAAAACAGACTGGTGCACATTAAGAAATAGAATGAGAAGTTAAAAAACGCTATTAGCTGACAGTTCTAAAACATTGGAAAGGCAAGATGATTTGGAAATTGGACGGTAGTTATCTAAGTCAGAAGGATCTCCTCCTTTGTGTAGGGGGAGGACATGTTCCGCTTTCCAGATCTTACGGAAAACACCAGAAACAACTGTCAAGTTAAAAACATAGGTTAACGGTTCTGCAATAAGTGGAGCAGAGAGCTGCTGTAAGAAGGGATCAAGAGAATCAGTCCCTGTGGATTTTTTTTTTTTTACATCGATTTTAGCAAGGCACTTAGTACATCATGGATATAAAATGGTTGAAATGAAAATAGAGAATGTGTCTGGGAGTGCATCATTCTCACCAGTCTGTTTTGAGGTGAATAAAGGGCTCCCTCTAGTGGCCATCTGAGGCATTTCCAGAAACTATTATTTCAAATAGATGGCCATCTGAGGTAAAATGGTTATTAAAAGCAACCCAAATGTCCATTTGGTCTATTGTGGGACCAGAGGCTGTGGTGTTTCAGGGATATGACTACTTTCCAGAAGTTCGCTGGATTCCCACCATTCTCAGATACACAGTTCAAGAAGTATGTTGACTTTGCTTTTCTAACCAGGGGATAGACATCTATTTCTCAAATGGCTGAAGGACTGCCAGTCAGACATAGTATCAGTCAATCTAACCTTAGCCAGGCTACATTTATTTCCTGTAATTCTTCTGACAATTCATGCATGAACCAAGAGGACTGCAGAGGACCCCAGTCTCATGGTCCATATCCATGGTAGAATCCACAGCAGCTACAGTGGGGGAAAAAGTATTTAGTCAGCCACCAATTGTGCAAGTTCTCCCACTTAAAAAGATGAGAGAGGCCTGTAATTTTCATCATAGGTACACGTCAACTATGACAGACAAATTGAGATTTTTTTTCTCCAGAAATTCACATTGTAGGATTTTTAATGAATGTATTTGCAAATTATGGTGGAAAATAAGTATTTGGTCACCTACAAACAAGCAAGATTTCTGGCTCTCACAGACCTGTAACTTCTTCTTTAAGAGGCTCCTCTGTCCTCCACTCGTTACCTGTATTAATGGCACCTGTTTGAACTTGTTATCAGTATAAAAGACACCTGTCCACAACCTCAAACAGTCACACTCCAAACTCCACTATGGCCAAGACCAAAGAGCTGTCAAAGGACACCAGAAACAAAATTGTAGACCTGCACCAGGCTGGGAAGACTGAATCTGCAATAGGTAAGCAGCTTGGTTTGAAGAAATCAACTGTGGGAGCAATTATTAGGAAATGGAAGACATACAAGACCACTGATAATCTCCCTCAATCTGGGGCTCCACGCAAGATCTCACCCCGTGGGGTCAAAATGATCACAAGAACGGTGAGCAAAATTCCCAGAACCACACGGGGGGACCTAGTGAATTACCTGCAGAGAGCTGGGACCAAAGTAACAAAGCCTACCATCAGTAACACACTACGCCACCAGGAACTCAAATCCTGCAGTGCCAGACGTGTCCCCCTGCTTAAGCCAGTACATGTCCAGGCCCGTCTGAAGTTTGCTAGAGTGCATTTGGATGATCCAGAAGAGGATTGGGAGAATGTCATATGGTCAGATGAAACCAAAATAGAACCTTTTGGTAAAAACTCAACTTGTCGTGTTTGGAGGACAAAGAATGCTGAGCTGCATCCAAAGAACACCATACCTACTGTGAAGCATGGGGGTGGAAACATCATGCTTTGGGGCTGTTTTTCTGCAAAGGGACCAGGACGACTGATCCGTGTAAAGGAAAGAATGAATGGGGCCATGTATCGTGAGATTTTGAGTGAAAACCTCCTTCCATCAGCAAGGGCATTGAAGATGAAACGTGGCTGGGTCTTTCAGCATGACAATGATCCCAAACACACCGCCCGGGCAACGAAGGAGTGGCTTCGTAAGAAGCATTTCAAGGTCCTGGAGTGGCCTAGCCAGTCTCCAGATCTCAAACCCATAGAAAATCTTTGGAGGGAGTTGAAAGTCCGTGTTGCCCAGCGACAGCCCCAAAACATCACTGCTCTAGAGGAGATCTGCATGGAGGAATGGGCCAAAATACCAGCAACAGTGTGTGAAAACCTTGTGAAGACTTACAGAAAACGTTTGACCTGTGTCATTGCTAACAAAGGGTATAAAACAAAGTATTGAGAAACTTTTGTTATTGACCAAATACTTATTTTCCACCATAATTTGCAAATAAATTCATAAAAAATCCTACAATGTGATTTTCTGGAGAAAAAAAATCTCATTTTGTCTGTCATAGTTGACGTGTACCTATGATGAACATTACAGGCCTCTCTCATCTTTTTAAGTGGGAGAACTTGCACAATTGGTGGCTGACTAAATACTTTTTTCCCCCACTGTATATACTGTATATGAATGTTACAACTCACATCTAAAGAGTTCTACTTTACCATGAGAGAGAGATTGATGGACAGAGACTGGACAAAATGTAAAACACAGCGTTGATGATGATTCATGATCCGTTCTCAACACAGCGTTGATGATGATTCATGACCCGTTCTCAACACGGCGTTGACGATGATTCATGATCCGTTCTCAACACAGCGTTGACGATGATTCATGATCCGTTCTCAACACAGCGTTGATGATGATTCATGATCCGTCCTCTCAACACAGCGTTGATGATGATTCATGATCCGTTCTCAACACAGCGTTGATGATGATTCATGATCCGTTCTCAACACAGCGTTGATGATGATTCATGATCCGTTCTCAACACGGCGTTGATGATGATTCATGATCCGTCCTCTCAACACAGCGTTGATGATGATTCATGACCCGTTCTCAACACAGAGTTGATGATGATTCATGACCCGTTCTCAACACAGCGTTGATGATGATTCATGACCCGTTCTCAACACGGCGTTGATGATGATTCATGACCCGTTCTCAACACAGCGTTGACGATGATTCATGACCCGTTCTCAACACAGCGTTGTCTACACTTACGACAGGTCTGTGTAAAATCCTCCTCCTGTGAACACGTCGCGCAGGTCTCACACTTAAGCAGTATTTAGATTTCTGTTCAGTTACGCACTCCAGAAGTGACAGATGCATTCAGTGTGTTCTTCTAGTTAACCTGGGTGACGGTTTTTATCCCTTTGGTGTGTCGTCAGGGTGTGTATAGCTGGCGTATAGATCTGTCCAAAGCAGAGAAGTACTGGGATGGATGGTTCAGAGGAATCTCTAATCTGTTCCTGGGATGTAACCTGCCCAAACTCCTCCTGTTAGCAGGTACGTCACAACACAAACCTATCCTCATTTTCACCAGGAACTACGGACACTACAGTCTAAACTATATTTACTTCACCCCTGGTACTTACATTTACATTTTACATTTTAGTCATTTAGGAGACGCTCTTATCCAGAGCGACTTACAGTTAGTGAGTGCATACATTATTATTATTATTTTTCATACTGGACCCCCGTGGGAATCGAACCCACAACCCTGGCGTTGCAAACGCCATGCTCTACCAACTGAGCTACACCCCTGCCGGCCATTCCCTCCTCTACCCTGGACGACGCTGGGCCAATTGTGCGCCGCACCATGGGTCTCCCGGTCGCGGCCGGCTGCGACAGAGCCTGGATTCGAACCAGGATCTCTAGTGGTACAGCTAGCACTGCAGTGCCTTAGACCACTGCGCCACTCGGCAGGGGTGTAGATCAGAAAACCAGTCAGTATTTGGTGTGATCACCATTTGGCCTCATGCAGCGCAACACATCTCCTTCGCATAAAAGTTGATCAGGCTGTTGATCGTGGCCCCTTGTGGAATGTTGTCCCACTCCTCTTCCAATGGCTGTGCGTAGTTGCTTGATATTGGTGGGATCTGGAACACGCTGTGTCGTACACGTCGAACCAGAGCATCCCAAACATGCTCAACGGGTGACATCATGTCTGGTGAGTATGCAGGCCATGGAAGAACTGGGACATTTTCAGCTTCCAGGAATTGTGGACAGGTCCTTGCGACATGGGGCCGTGCGTTATAATGCTGAAACATGAGGTGATGGCGGCGGACGAATGGCACGACAATGGGCCTCAGGATCTAGCCAAGGCATTGGTAAAATGCAATTGTGTTAGTTTTCCGTAGCTTATGCCTGTCCATACCATAACCCCACCGCCACCATGGGGCACTCTGTTCACAACGTTGACATCAGCAAACCGCTCGCCCACACGACACCATACACGCTGTCTGCCATCTGCCCGGTACAGTTAAAACCGGGATTAATCCGTGAAGAGCACACTTCTCCAGCGTGCCAGTGGCCATCGAAGGTGAGCATTTGCTCACTGAAGTCGGTTACGACGCCAAACTGCAGTCAGGTCAAGACCCTGGTGAGGACGACGAGCACGCAGATGAGCTTCCCTGAGACGGTTTCTGACAGTTTGTGCAGACATTCTTCAGTTGTGCAAACCCACAGTTTCATCAGCTGTCCGGGTGGCTGGTCTCAGACGATCCCGCAGGTGAAGAAGTTGGATGTGGAGGTCCTGGGCTGGCATGGTTACACGTGGTCTGCAGTTGTGAGGGTGGTTGAACACACTGCCTAATTCTCTAAAACTACTAATTGTAGTTGGTCCCCCCTTTGCTGCTATAACAGCCTCCACTCCTCTGGGAAGGCTTTCCACTAGATGTTGGAACATTGCTGAGGGGACTTGCTTCCATTCAGCCACAAGAGCATTAGTGAAGTCGGGCACTGATGTTGTGCGATTAGGACCGCAGATAGCGTTCCAATTCATTCCAAAGGTGTTCGATGGGGTTGAGGTCAGGGCTCTGTGCAGGCCAGTCAAGTTCTCCACACCAATCTCGACAAACCATTTCTGTATGGACCTCGCGTTGTGCACGGGGGCATTGTCATGCTGAAGCAGGAAAGGGCCTTCCCCAAACTGTTGCAACAAAGTTGGAAGCACAGAATCGTCTAGAACGTCATTGTATGCTGTAGCGTTAAGATTTTCCCTTCACTGGAACTAAGGGGCCTAGCCCGAACCATGAAAAACAGCCCCAGACCATTATTCCTCCTTCAACAAACTTTACAGTTGGCACTATCCATTCGGGCAGGTACCGTTCTCCTGGCATCCGCCAAATACAGATTCATCCATCAGACTGCCAGATGGTGAAGCGTGATTCATCACTCCAGATAAACGCGTTTCCACTGCTCCAGATTCCAATGGCGGCGAGCTTTACACCACTCCAGCCGACGCTTGGCATTGCACATGGTGATCTTAGGCTTGTGTGCGGCTGCTCGGCCATGGGAACCCATTTCATGAAGCTCCCGACGAACAGTTATTGTGCTGATGTTGCTTCCAGAAGCAGTTTGGAACTCGGTAGTGAGTGTTGCAACCGAGGACAGACGATTTTTATGCACTACGCGCTTCAGCACTCGGCGGTCCCGTTCTGTGAGCTTGTGTGGTCTACCATTTTAGGGCTGAGCCGTTGTTGCTCCTAGACGTTTCCACTTCACAATAACAGCACTTACAGTTGACCGGGGCAGCTCAAGCAGGGCAAACATTTGACGAACTGACTTGTTGGAAAGGTGGCATCCTATGACGGTGCCACGTTGAAAGTCGCTGAGCTCTTCAGTACGGGCCATTCTACTGCCAATGTTTGTCTATGGAGATTGCATGGCTGTGTGCTCGATTCTATACACCTGTAAGCAACGGGCGTGGCTGAAATAGAATAATAATAATATGCCATTTAGCAGACGCTTTAATCCAAAGCGACTTACTTAGAAGAATCCACTCATTTGAAGGGGTGACCACATACTGCTGTATGGGGGCGGCAGGTAGCTTAGTGGTTAAGAGCGTTGTGCCAGTAACCGAAAGGTCGCTGGTTCTAATCCCCGAGCCGACTAGGTAAAAAATCTGTCGATGTGCCCTTGAGCAAGGCACTTAACCCTAATTGCTCCTGTAGGTCGCTCTGGATAAGAGTGTCTGCTAAATGACAAAAAATGTAAATATAGTGTATTTTACTACCCTTACTTTACCCCAGGTACATAACACTACAGTCTAATTTACCCTTACTTTACCCCAGGTCCTACTCCATAAGCGGGAATCTTGTTGTATTCTAATCGTGCCTGTATTTGTCAATCCTGTATTTCTCATTTTGGCTGCACCTTGACCATAGGTCATATACCTAGAATCTTAAAGGGATAGTGCAGATTTTGACAATGAAGCCCTTTATCAACTTCCCCAGAGTCAGGCGAACTGGTGTCATTGGTATGTCTCTGTGTGCATGTGTTTATTTATATATGTGTGTGTGTGTGTGTGTGTGTGTGTGTGTGTGTGTGTGTGTGTGTGTGTGTGTGTGTGTGTGTGTGTGTGTGTGTGTGTGTGTGTGTGTGTGTGTGTCTCTGTATAAATCATGATGCATGATTTGTTTGTCTTCAGGTGTAGATCGTCTGGACAGGGACCTGACTATAGGCCAAATGCAGGGTAGGTCTACACAGTTGACTGTTGTCTACCACTCTAGCATGCTGAAACTGACAGCCACAGTGTGTGTGTGTGTGTGTGTGGATGTGTTTAACTATTCTTGAAGACCAGAAGTTCCCACAAGAATAGTAAACAAACAACAATGTGACCAACTGGGGACATTTTGTTAGTCCCCGCAAGGTCAAAGGCTATTTCTAGGGGGTTTAGGGTTAAGGTTAAAATTACTGTTAGGGTTGGAATTAGGTTTAGGGTTTGGAGCTAGGGTTAGGTTTAGGGTTAGGGTTTGGAGCTAGGGTTAGGTTTAGGGTTAGGGTTTGGAGCTAGGGTTAGGTTTAGGGTTAGGGTTTGGAGCTAGGGTTAGGTTTAGGGTTAGGGTTTGGAGCTAGGGTTAGGTTTAGGGTTAGGGTTTGGAGCTAGGGTTAGGTTTAGGGTTAGGGTTTGGAGCTAGGGTTAGGTTTTAGGGTTAGGCTTAAGGGTTAGGTTTTCACGTTAAGATTAGGGTGAGGTTTAAGGTTAGGGTTAGGGAAAATAGGATTTTGAATGGGACTGAATTGTGTGTCCCCACAAGGTTAGTTATACAAGACTGTGTGTGTGAGTGTGAGTGTGTTGTCAGACTGAAGACCACCTGTTATGTTGTTCTCCTCAGGGAAATTCATGATGCAGGTGCTGCCCCCTAGTGGCCATGCAGTGCACGAGGACACACCAGACAAAGTAAGACACGCACGCACGCACGCACCACCACACCACACACACACACCACCACACACACACACACACACACACACACACACACACACACACACCACACACACACACACACAACACACCACACCACACCACACACACACACACACACACACACCAACACACACACACACACACACACACACACACCAACATCACACATTCTTCAGCAAACCACTGCCAAAGCTCTGTCAACACCAACTTCTAGCCACCAAGCAACTACGAACACTAAACATCAACTGACACTGAACCTAAAACACATCCAACGACCACAACCTAAAAACATGCTAACTGACCCTGAACCTATAGAAACATGCTAACTGAACCGAACCTATAGAAACATGCTAACTGACCCTGAACCTATAGAAACATGCTAACTGACCCTGAACCTATTGTGAACCTATAGAAACATGCTAACTGACCCTGAACCTATTGTGAACCTATAGAAACATGCTAACTGACCCTGAACCTTGAACCTATAGAAACATGCTAACTGACCCTGAACCTATTGTGAACCTATAGAAACATGCTAACTGACCCTCAACCTATTGTGAACCTATAGAAACATGCTAACTCACTCTCTCTCAGCTCCTCCTACCCTTTCACGCGGTGAGGTCAGCAGGCCTACCTACCAGAACATCCAGCCTTTCTGTGTCCTGAACAACAAATGTTTGTTTTAAATCAAATCATTTTCATATTTTACTTTCCAACAGTTTTAGAATGTTTTACTGGTAACCATGGTTATTATTTTACCATCTTAGTCACTTTAGAATTCCATCTTTTACAGTCGTTGTGTAGTTCAGTAAACATATTGCAGTGTTTTGAGGTAGAAGCCCCCACTAGTATGGGCAGCATGCTAAACTATGTACACTATGTTCAGTTGGACTGACGACTCCAAACACGTGTTGGGGTAAACAGCTCTCACGGGAGAGGACTGTTACGATCATTAAACACACGCAGACACACACAGTAATGTGTTACAGGTGGGGAGTGACGATATTTCCATAAAGGCTACATTTCCTGTTGTGTGAAGGAAGCCATGTTGTAAAGGATGCCAGGAGAAAACAAGAACATGTAGTATTGCGACTATGGGCTGGTTTCTGATAAAGTCCTGGACTTTTGCTTTCAATGGAATGTTTTTTTAGACCAGGACTAGGCCGAACTTCTGTCTTTTGGAAACCAGCCTCATATTGCTTGTACTGTCCTTCCATGTTGTTCTGTAAAGTCTCGCTAAGGATTTATTCATGTTAGTCTGTAATGTAAAGTCTCGCTAAGGATTTATTCATGTTAGTCTGTAATGTAAAGTCTCGCTAAGGATTTATTCATGTTAGTCTGTAATGTAAAGTCTCGCTAAGGATTTATTCATGTTAGTCTGTAATGTAAAGTCTCGCTAAGGGTTTATTCATGTTAGTCTGTAATGTAAAGTCTCGCTAAGGATTTATTCATGTTAGTCTGTAATGTAAAGTCTCGCTAAGGGTTTATTCATGTTAGTCTGTAATGTAAAGTCTCGCTAAGGGTTTATTCATGTTAGTCTGTAATGTAAAGTCTCGCTAAGGATTTATTCATGTTGTTCTGTAATGTAAAGTCTCGCTAAGGATTTATTCATGTTAGTCTGTAATGTAAAGTCTCGCTAAGGATTTATTCATGTTGGTCTGTAATGTAAAGTCTCGCTAAGGATTTATTCATGTTAGTCTGTAATGTAAAGTCTCGCTAAGGATTTATTCATGTTAGTCTGTAATGTAAAGTCTCGCTAAGGATTTATTCATGTTGGTCTGTAATGTAAAGTCTCGCTAAGGATTTATTCATTAAAAGAGATGTGGAAAAAAAACATGCAATAACATTTATTGGAACACGTGCAACATTTTACAGACAATCAAAAATACCCCACATCTGGCAAATATTATATACACATATCCTGTGTGTGAGAGAGAGAGAGAAAACACCCATACTACTCATTCTGGATGTTCTGGATTCCCCGAAACAACAACCATGCCATTACCATGGTTACGAACACCATGGGAGGGGGGGGGGGGGGGGGGGCTAACTAACTCACTCTCAGCCTATCAGATTGCAGAGAGCCTTGACGTGGTTGGACGATCCTCTCCCTTTATATGAGTGACCCTAGGGATGCCTCCCAATTCTATACATTTTAACCCCCTGGAAGTGTGCACTTGCTCACTCCCCCTCATGGATCTGAAAGTAATGAATTCATGCTAGAAATACGATGGAAACGTCCCCATTCCTCTCAGTGGAAACTACTACCAACCCCTTCCAATACTTTCAGAACCCTGAGGGGAGTGAACAAGTGCATACTTGATGGAGGAGAGAATTAGAGGGAGGGGGGAGGGGGGGTGGGGGTGAGGTAATTAGAATAGAGAACAGAGGAGCTAACAGCTGTTTAGAAAGACAAGACATTCCTAAGGAGCCGTATGTCTATGGAGCTGCTCAGATATTTATCTACAAACATGAATTGTTTTCGGCCGTTTGTCTATTCGATTCAGAATCCCTGTTATTGATTCATCCTCGAGCTGTTTGTTTCAGGGTCAGTAACACTGTGTTCCCTCTCTCTTTGCGTCGTTACAAAAATAAATCATTTTACCTTTTTATCAAAATAAGAGAACTCCATTTCTCTTTCCCGTCAAAAACACTCAGTCAGTCTGCATCCAAATATTCCCTATTCAGGATCCATAGGGCTCTGGGGTCAAAAGTAGTGCACTATATAGGGAATAGGGTGCCATTCTCTGGTCTAAAGTAGTGCACTATATAGGGAATAGGGTGCCATTCTCTGGTCTAAAGTAGTGCACTATATAGGGAATAGGGTACCATTCTCTGGTCTAAAGTAGTGCACTATATAGGGAATAGGGTGCCATTCTCTGGTCTAAAGTAGTGCACTATATAGGGAATAGGGTTCCATTCTCTGGTCTAAAGTAGTGCACTATATAGGGAATAGGGTGCCATTCTCTGGTCTAAAGTAGTGCACTATATAGGGAATAGGGTGCCATTCTCTGGTCTAAAGTAGTGCACTATATAGGGAATAGGGTGCCATTCTCTGGTCTAAAGTAGTGCACTATATAGGGAATAGGGTGCCATTGAGACTACATCCACTGAGATTACGGACATGTTATTTTGCAGCCAGTCCCTCCCACCCAAAACACCCAACCATTAACGCTGAAGGAAGGTTCTGAGAAGGATTCTAGAACGTTTCATAGCGTCGCCGTAACATCCGATTGTCAAAAAGAGGAGTTATATTAGCAACACCATGGCAACACAACCACAACCAACTCTGATTGGCCAGTTAAGACAGACAACGGTAGTAAAAAAAACAAATAGGAAAAAAAAAAAAGCTTTACATTTTTACATTTTAGTCATTTTAGCAGACGCTCTTATCCAGAGTGAGTGCATACATTTTTATTTTTTATTCCATACTGCCCCCCCCCCGTGGGAATCGAACCCACAACCATGGCGTTGCAAGCGCCATGCTCTATCAACTGAGCTACACGGGGCCCCTATACTGTGAGATCGTACAGATATAGACAGACGGACGGACGGACGGACGGACAGACGGAGGCTAAAGGAATATTAGAGGAAACATTTCTTTGAGATATATGACCTTAGAATACACACAGGCAGACTGAAGGAGAGAATACTGTAGTTATACTTTTAAAATACTGCAGTACTGTTGTAGTAATACTATGTAGTTGTGTGACCTGATCCATGGTTACTGTAAGTAGAGACCATATCATTCCAGGAAGTATAGCAGAAAGAAGATAGGGTGCAGTTCACTGACTACATCTCCCAGAGATCTTTTGAGGCTTTTCTAAATAAAATATCCCGGTCATTCCTGCACCAGTTCTTGTTGCTGAAGTTCCGTTTCAAAATGGTGGTTTTAGAAATCTGTTTTATAGATCCACAGGGTTCCGTCGATTCCATACTGCTCAGTGTGCGTGATCAGAACTCTTATTGTGAAATATTTCCTCAATATCCATTCCTGGACTCCAGGTAACAGGTAACTCCATGACAGGTAGAATACCCCACCAGGTAACAGTAACCCTACCAGCCAGATAGCTCCATAAGCCATACAGGACAGGTGAGGCCAACCATATTACCGTAACCAGGTGAGTCTATTCTCCGCGTAACCAAGGCTACAGAGCTGAGTGTCTACACTGTACGCGGTGTGTCCCATCGCAGACGGGGTTGTCCCAGGTTGGTCCCAGGTAGATTTGCTACTCCTATTTCATAGCAAAGCTTCGTACCAACTGTTGCTTTGGAGCACCTACAGAGTCTTACTGGAGGCCTGGGTTAGCCCAAAATGAAATAAATATGGCAACTTTGATTAATGATTTTTTCAATTATTCTTTTAGATACAAAATGTCAAATATGTAAATAATACTTCCTCCAAAAGGACCATTCTATGGATTACATTACATTACATCCTTCCTCCAAAGGACCATTCTATGGATACAATTTCCAGAAAATCCACCAAATCGTGGTCTTTTTTTGTCCTGGTTTAATCTGGAATCACTCACAGGTAGGTTTACCCAGTTAGGACCATTCCAGGCAGGTTTATCCAGCCTACAGGTATGTCTCTGTCCTTTGTCCCAGGTTAGATTTGTCCCAGGTAAGGCCCTGTTCTGGCCCGGTTCTGGCCCGGGTTCTCAGGACTTGTTGTCCCCAGTAGGGGTTGGTTGTCCCAGTGACAGGTCTTCGTCCGACAGTCCTGTTTCCACGGCGAGCACCAGGGATGCACTGCTGGTCATGGGCTGGAGTTCCCCTAGAGAGAGTGAGCGGGGGAGAGAGAGAGAGAGGGGGGAGATGAGGGGGGGGTAGGGAGCGAGAGGGGGGAGATGAGAGAGGGGGGAGATGAGAGAGGGAGAGAGAGGGGGGAGATGAGAGAGGGGGTAGGGAGAGAGGGGAGATGAGTGGGAGAGAGAGGGGGGGGTTGGTAGAGAGAGGGGAGATGAGAGAGGGGGGAGATGAGAGAGGGGGGTAGGGAGAGAGGGGAGATGAGAGAGAGGGGGGAGATGAGAGAGAGGGGGGAGATGAGAGGGAGAGAGAGGGGGGAGATGAGAGAGGGGGGTAGGGAGAGGGGGGAGATGAGAGAGGGGGGTAGGGAGAGAGGGGAGATGAGAGAGAGGGGGGGAGATGAGAGGGGGGGTAGGGAGAGAGGGGAGATGAGAGAGAGGGGGGGAGATGAGAGAGGGAGAGAGAGGGGGGGAGATGAGAGAGGGGGGTAGGGAGGAGAGGGGAGATAGGAGAGAAGGGGGGTAGGGAGGAGAGGGGAGATGAGAGAAGGGGGGGAGAGAGAGGGAGAGGAGAGGGGGGAGATGAAGAGAGGGGGGGGAGATGAGAGAGGGGGTAGAGAGAGGAGAGGGGGAGATGAGAGGGGGGGAGGGAGAGAGGGGAGATGAGAGAGAGGGGGGAGATGAGGAGGGAGAGAGAGGGGGGAGATGAGAGAGGGGGAGAGAGGGGGGAGATGAGAGAGGAGAGATGAGAGGGAGAGAGAGGGGGGGTAGGGAGAGAGGGGAGATGAGAGAGGGATGAGGGATGAGAGAGGGATGAGGGATGAGGGTGTAATTAATCAGAGTTGCCACCAGGTGCCACTATGAGTGCTGTGTGTGTAGAGTCAATACTTCTACTACTTCCATCAAACTCCCCACCTTCCCAAGAAAGCCAGGCCACACAAACCCCACCCTTGGTGCATCGCCACAAGCAACCCCCCAAAACCTTTCGCTCGTCACCAGAAAACTCCCCACCCTTTCCGCTCACCAGCAAACTCCCCACCCTCGCACCATGCAAACCCCACCCTCTCGGCTAACCATCAAATCCCCCCTCTCCGCACATCAAATCCCCACCCTCTCTCACCATCAAACTCCCCACCCCTCTCGCTATCAAATCCCCCACTCACCATCAAACTCCCCACCCTTTCTCTCTCACCATCAAACTCCCCACCCTTTCTCTCTCACCATCAAACTCCCCACCCTTTCTCTCTCACCATCAAACTCCCCACCCTTTGCTCTATCCAATCAACTCCCCACCCTTTCTCTCTCTCCATCAAACTCCCCACCCTTTCTCTCTCATCCATCAAACTCCCCACCCTTTCTCTCTCTCCATCAAACTCCCCACCCTTTCTCTCTCACCAGTGTGTGTGTGTATGTGTGTGTGTGTGTGTGTGTGTGGTGTGTAGTCTCACCAGTGTGTGTGTAGTCTCACCAGTGTGTGTGTGTGTGTGTGTGTAGTCTCACCAGTGTGTGTGTAGTCTCACCAGTGTGTGTGTGTGTGTGTGTGTGTGTGTGTGTGTGTGTGTAATCTCACCAGTGAGTGTGTCAGTAGTTACTGTAATGGGACTATCCCTCAGAGGGTCTGGGTCGTGGTAGTCTTGTGGTAGCCCCATCCTCCGCATCCCCGGATCTAGAACCACCGAGCCCCCCTCACTGAGGGTCCCGTCACTGGACCCTTCCGACACCACAGCCTCCAGGGCCAGACCCTCCACCCCGACCCCCCCACCCACACCCAGCATCTCATAGTCCAAGGGCAGGTCATCCAGACAGTCTGCATTTAACTGGAGAGATGAGAGAGGGGGGGGGAGAGACGAGAGAGACGAGAGAGGGGGGAGAGAGACGAGAGAGGGGGGAGAGAGACAAGGGGGGGAGAGACACAAGGGGGGGGGAGACGAGAGAGGGGGAGAGAGCGAGGGGGGGAGAGAGACGAGAGAGGGGGAGGAGAGAGACGAGAGAGGGAGGAGAGAGACGAGAGAGAGGGGAGAGGAGAGAGAGAGAGACGAGAGAGAGGGAGGGAGAGAGACGAGAAGAGAGAGAGACGAGAGAGGGGGAGAGAGAGAGAGACGAGAGAGAGGGAGGGAGAGAGACGAGAAGGAGAGAGAGACGAGAGAGGGGGAGAGAGAGACGAGAGAGAGACGAGAGGGGGGGGGAGAGACGAGAGAGAGGGAGAGACGAGAGGGAGGGGGAGAGAGACGAGAGGGGGAGAGAGACGAAAGAGAGGGGGGAGAGAGACGAGAGGAAAGGAAGGAGAGAGAGCAGAGAAAGAGTAGAGAGAGAAACAGTTCAGTATATATGTGGGTTCAGTTCAAACATATTAAATCGTGTTGGTGCGAGGGAGTGAAGTTTGGATGGATTTGATTCAATACAATTCTGATGGTGACCAAAAAGCAGCTTTCGATTCGTATGAATGAGTGACTTTGATAACTCTGTAATTGAATCATAAATGATTCGTAAATGACTCACAGCGATTCCCAGGGCTTTGAGGATGTTGATCTTGCACATTGGGCAGGTCCTGTGATCCAGCAGCCAGGGGTCCACACAGTTCTTATGGAACAGATGTCTGACAGGAGAAAGAAACAGTTTATAACGGGTCTGTTACATGGTTATAACGGGTCTGTAACATGTTTATAATGGGTCTGTAACATGTTTATAACGGGTCCGTAACATGTTTATAACGGGTCTGTAACATGTTTATAACGGGTCTGTAACATGTTTATAACGGGTCTGTAACATGTTTATAACGGGTCTGTAACATGTTTATAACGGGTCTGTAACATGTTTATAACGGGTCTGTAACATGTTTATAACGGGTCCGTAACATGTTTATAACGGGTCTGTAACATGTTTATAACGGCTCTGTAACATGTTTATAACGGGTCTGTTACATGTTTATAACGGGTCTGTAACATGTTTATAACGGGTCTGTAACATGTTTATAACGGGTTGTTTAGAACATGAGTGCCGGGGTGGGTTTACCAGCAGGGTATCAAGTGTTTCTAAAAGGGCTTACGAATGGGTCATAACAGGTGTATTAAAGCGGCAAGCCAGTCTCCTTTCAACCTCGTTTAACACCTGATTTACTTAACAAAAAGGCACACCTCAATAGGTGGTCCAGGTAAGTCATGACATCACACAAGGGGGAGGGGCTTTCCTCTATTGCTCCTCTATTGTTCCTCAAGCAAGCGGGGGAGGCCGATGACATCACAGATTCCCTACAAAGAAGTTTTGCTCAATACTTATTTTTTTACCCTTTAGTACAGGGTTCCCCAACTGGCGGCCTGCGAGCCAAATTTGGCCCGCGGGTGGTTTTATTTGCCACCCCCAAGTTTTGAAAAAAATACACACTACCAGTCAAATGTTTGGACATTCAGGTGACTACCTCATGAAGCTGGTTGAGAGAATGCCAAGAGTGTGCAAAGCTGTCATCAAGGCGAAGGGTGGCTATTTGAAGAATCTCAAATATAAAATATATTTTGATTTGTTTAACACTTTTTTTGGTAACTACATGATTCCATATGTGTTATTTCATAGTTCTGATGTCTTCACTATTATTCTACAATGTAGAAAACAGTAAAAATAGAGAAAAACCTTTGAATGAGTAGGTGTTCTAAAACTTTTGACTGGTAGTGTATATAATACAAAATTATATTTAGCAATACTTCCCCAGAGTCAGATGAACTCGTGGACACCATGTTTATGTCTCTGCGTGCGGTTTGAAGGAAGTTACTAACTAGCGTTAGCGCAATTTGATCTCAAAACTACCTCAACTTCCTTCATACTGGATGGACACAGAGACATAAAAATGGTATCCACAGGTTCATTTGAGACCCATGGGGGCGGCGCACAATTGGCCCAGCGTCGTCCAGGGTAGGGGAGGGAATGGCCGGCAGGGATGTAGCTCAGTTGGTAGATCATGGCGTTTGCAACGCCAGGGTTGTGGGTTTGATTCCAACAGGGGGGGCCAGTATGAAATAAATAAAATGAAGAAAAAAAATAATATATATATATATATAATAATGTATGCAATCACTAACTGTAAGTCGCTCTGGATAAGAGCGTCTGCTAAAATGACTAAAATGTAAAATGTTAATATGACTCTGGAGAAGGGCCTCATTGCCAAGATCCCCAAGTATCCCTTTGAGGGTTTCTAACAGTCTTATTTACCTGCAGGGTAGTATCCTGACCACATCGTTTGGCTTGTAGCCCTCGATACACACGGCACAGTTATCAAAGTCTGACTCGGTCTCCTGGTCTCCTTTCCTGATGGTCCTGACCTGCAGTTTACTGATGGCCTTCTTAGCTGCATCTCCCAGACGCCTCTGGGGAGAGAGAGTGAGAGAGGGGGAGAGACAGAGAGAGGGGGGAGAGACAGAGAGAGGAGAGGAGAGAGAGGGACGAGAGAGAGGGAGAGAGAGGGGAGAGAGAGAGGGGAGAGAGAGAGGGAGAGAGAGAGAGAGAGAGAGAGAGAGAGGAGGAGAGAGGAGAGAGAGAGAGAGAGAGAGAGAGAGAGAGAGAGAGAGAGAGAGAGGGTGGAGAGACTAGGGGTTAGTCCGTTGTCTAACGTTCGATTGCGCCACTCCTGAGCCACGCTCATCCCTCAACCGATCTGTCTTTTAGGACGTGGAACTCACCTAAAAAAAAACAGATTTTGCTAATATGCCTAACACTAGTTCCTAATTCTAAAAATCACCGCTCCTGGTAGTTATGACGCATTGGCTACTACGGCAAACCATAGCAGGTTAGTGCAAGCTTGTTTGAATGGCCATACGCTAGCTTGTTTGAATGGCCATACGCTAGCTAGTTTGAATGGCCATACGCTAGCTAGTTTGAATGGCCATACGCTAGGTAGTTTGAATGGCCATACGCTAGCTAGTTTGAATGGCCATACGCTAGCTAGTTTGAATGGCCATACGCTAGCTAGTTTGAATGGCCATACGCTAGCTAGTTTGAGTGGCCATACGCTAGCTAGTTTGAGTGGCCATACGCTAGCTAGTTTGAATGGCCATACGCTAGCTAGTTTGAATGGCCATACGCTAGCTAGTTTGAGTGGCCATACGCTAGCTAGTTTGAATGGCCATACGCTAGCTAGTTTGAGTGGCCATACGCTAGCTAGTTTGAATGGCCATACGCTAGCTAGTTTGAATGGCCATACGCTAGCTAGTTTGAATGGCCATACGCTAGCTAGTTTGCCAGCTTGTTGATGAAGTTGTACGGCACCAACGTTATGGGAATGTTTTCAGAAATCAGCGGCGTGATAAAATATTTGCCCCCTTTTCTAATTTTCTCTACTTTTGCATATTTTGGATACTGAATGTTATCCGATCTTCAACCAAAACCTAATATTAGATAATGGCAACCTGAGTTTACAGATAACACAACAATTACATACTTATTTCATAAACAAAAGTTATGCAACACACAATGCCCCTTTGAAAAAGTAATTGCCCCCTTACACTCAGCTTTAGCTGCAATGACTCCAACCAAACGCTTCCTGTTGATCAGTCTCAAGTCGCTATGTCGTCCAAAAAGTTATACTTTTGACTCATCTGTCCGTAGAACATTCTTCAAAGAGTCTTGATGATCATCCAGGTGCTTTTTGGTAAACTTGAGTCAACTTTTTGGACGAGATGGGTCCCATTATGCCTGGTGAAAACCAAACTCTGCATTCCACAGTAAGAACATCATACCAAAGGTCAAGCATGGTGGTGGTGGTGTGATGGTTTGAGGATACTTTGCTGCCTCAGGACCTGGACGACTTGCCTTAATAGAAGGAACCATGAATTCTGTTCTGTATCAGAGAATTCTACAGGAGAATGTCAGACCATCCGTCTGTGAGCTGAAGCTGAAGCGCAGCTGGGTCATGCAGCAAGACAATGATCCAAAACACACAATCAAGTCCACATGAAATTAGCTAAAATGCAACACATTTGAAGCTTTGGAATTGCCTAGTCAAAGTCCAGACCTAATCCCATTTGAGATGTTGTGGCAGGACTTGAAAGGAGCAGTTCATGCTTGAAAATTCAACAAATGTCGCTAAGTTAAAGCAGTTCTGCATGGAAGAGTGGGCCAAAATTCCTCCACAACGACGTGAGAGACTGATCAACAACTACAGGAAGCATTTGGTTGCAGTTATTGCAGCTAAAGATTGCACAAACAGTTATTGAGTGTAAGGGGGCAATTACAGTGCATTGGGAAAGTATTCAGACCCCTTGACTTATTCCACACTTTGTTACATTACCGCCTTATTCAAAAATATATTAAATCATCAATCTACACACAATACCCCATAATGACAAAGCAAAAACAGGTTTAGAAATGTTTGCAAATTTATAAAAAAAATCAAAAACAGAAATACCTTATTTACATAAGTATTCAGACCCTTTGCTATGAGACTCGAAATTGAGTTCAAGTGCATCCTGTTTCCATTGATCATCCTTGAGATTTTTCTGCAACTTGGAATCCACCTTGATTTGGAAAGGCACACACCTGTCTATATAAAAAGGTCCAACAGTTGACAGTGCATGTCAGAGCAAAAACCAAGCCATGGGGTTGAAGGAATTGTCCGTAGAGCTCCGAGACAGGATTGTGTCGAGGCACAGATCTGGGGAAGGGTAACAAAAAATGTCTGCAGCATTGAAGGTCCCCAAGAACACAGTGGCCTCCATCATTCTTAAATGGAAGAAGTTTGGAACCACCAAGACTCTTCCTAGAGCTGAGCAATCGAGGGAGAAGGGCCTTGGTCAGGGAGGTGACCAAGAATCCAATGGTCACACTGACAGAGCTCCAGAGTTCCTCTGTGGAGATGGGAGAACCTTCCAGAAGGACAACCATCTCTGCAGCACTCCACCAATCAGGCCTTTATGGTAGAGTGGCCAGATGGAAACCACTCCTCAGTAAAAGGCACATGACAGCCCGCTTGGAGTTTGCCAAAAGGCACCTAAAGACTCTCAAAACCATGAGAAACAAGATTCTCTGGTCTGATGAAACCAAGATTGAACTCTTTGGCCTGAATGCCAAGCGTCACATCTGGAGGAAACCTGGCACCATCCCTACGGTGAAGCATGGTGGTGGCAGCATCATGCTGTGGGGATGTCTTTCAGCGGCAGGGACTGGGAGACTAGGCAGGGTCGAGGGAAAGATGAACAGAGCAAAGTACAGAGAGATCCTTGATGAAAACCTGCTCCAGAGCGCTCAGGACCTCAGACTGGGGCGAAGGTTCACATTCCAGCAGGACAACGACCCTAAGCAAACAGCCAAGACAACGCAGGACTGGCTTCGGGACAAGTCTCTGAATGTCCTTGAGTGGCCCAGCCAGAGCCTGGACTTGAACCCCATCGAACATCTCTGGAGAGACCTGAAAATAGCTGTGCAGCGACACTCCCCATCCAACCTGACAGAGCTTGAGAGGATCTGCAGAGAATAATGGGAGTAACTCCCCAAATACAGGTGTGCCAAGCTTGTAGCGTCATACCCAAGAAGACTCGAGGCCGTAATCGCTGCCAAAGGTGCTTCAACAAAGTACTGAGTAAAGGGTCTGAATACTTATGTAAATGTGATATCAGTTTTTTTTATTTGTAATACATTTGCAAACATTTCAAAAATGCTGTTTTTGTTTTGTCACTATGGGGTATTGGGTGTAGATTAATGAGGAAAAACAACAATTTAATCAATTTTAGAATAAGGCTGTAACGTAACAAAATGTGGAAAAAGTCAAGGGGTCGGAATACTTTCCGAATGCACTGTAGGTGAATTGGGCATTGCATAACTTTATTAATTAAGTAAGTATCCATTTTTTTTTATTTGTAAACTCAGGTTCCCTTTATCTAATATTAGGTTTTGGTTGAAGATCTGATAACATTCAGTATAAAAAAATATGCAACAATAGAGAAAATCAGAAAGGGGGAAAATACATTTTCACGGCCCTGTATCTGGACTGACAGCTGGGACTGTATATAGTATTATTGTATCTGGATTGACAGCTGGGACTGTATATATAATATATAGTATTATTGTATCTGGACTGACAGCTGGGACTGTATATATAATATATAGTATTATTGTATCTGGACTGACAGCTGGGACTGTATATATAATATATAGTATTATTGTATCTGGATTGACAGCTGGGACTGTATATATAATTATTATTGTATCTGGATTGACAGCTGGGACTGTATATATAATATATAGTATTATTGTATCTGGATTGACAGCTGGGACTGTATATATAATATATAGTATTATTGTATCTGGACTGACAGCTGGGACTGTATATAATATATAGTATTATTGTATCTGGACTGACAGTTGGGACTGTATATATAATATATAGTATTATTGTATCTGGACTGACAGCTGGGACTGTATATATAATATATAGTATTATTGTATCTGGACTGACAGTTGGGACTGTATATATAATATATAGTATTATTGTATCTGGACTGACAGCTGGGACTGATATAAAAATATAGTATTATTGTATCTGGACGAAGCGGACTTTTTAAAAAACGGACATTTGGGACTTTTATAATATAGTATTATTGTATCTGGACTGACAGCTGGGACTGTATATATATATATATTATTGTATCATGGACTGACAGCTGGGACTGTATTATTATAATAGTATTATTGATCTGGACGAACAGCTGGGACTGTATATATACTTATAGTATATTGTATCTGGACTGACAGCTGGGACTGCTTTAATATATAGTTATTGTATCTGGACTGACAGTGGGACTGTAATATAATATATAGTATTATTGTATCTGGACTGACAGCTGGGGACGTATATATAATATATAGTATTATTGTATCTGGACTGCCAGCTGGGACTGTTATATAATATATAGTATTATTGTATCTGGACTGACCAGCTGGGACTGATATATAATATATAGTAATTGTATCTGGACTGCAGCTGGGATGTATATATATATATAGATTATTGTATTGGACGACAGCTTGGGACTGTAAAATAATTTAGTATTATTGTATCTGGACTGACAGCTGGGACTGTATATTAAATATATAGTATTATGATCTGGACTGACAGTTGGGACTGTTTTATAATTATAGTATTATTTTATCTGGACTGAAGCTGGGACGTTTTTTATGAAACTATATAGTATTATTGTATCTGGACTGACAGCTGGGACTGTATATAATATATAGTATTATTGTATCTGGACTGACAGTTGGGACTGTATATAATATATAGTATTATTGTATCTGGACTGACAGCTGGGACTGTATATAATATATAGTATTATTGTATCTGGACTGACAGCTGGGACTGTATATATAATATATAGTTATTGTATCTGGACTGACAGCTGGGACTGTATATATAATATATAGTATTATTGTATCTGGACTGACAGCTGGGACTGTGCCTTGCCACTTTGCAACATTTGGCCAACGTGATGACATCACAGAGAGCAGTCAGCTAGCGTTTCGCTACACTAGTTAGCTAGCTAGATGGAGTATTCAGCATTGCGTGCGCGTGAACTGGCGTTGTTCGCATCCCTGTCTTTCGTTTCATATAGATTGATTTGAGGACTGGTTAAACCAGCCAGCAGACACTAGCTAGGTAGAGAGTTTAAGCTAGATAAACTTTGCACATTTCGAATGTCATAACCACAAATCACCTTAACTAGACGTAGAATTAGGTAGTGAAGACTTGCTCATTAAAAAACAAATGTCAATATTAGCTACAGGTTTATAGTTTTGGGTCAGGTTAACTGACTCTATTGAGGATGAAAGGGGGTTTCAGTGGACGATGTCACCGTGGTAACATCTTTGAATGTTAGGACAGCCTATTGTAGCTGGATCATCTTTTGAGCTATTCCCATGAGTGTTCGCGAGTTATCAGACAGATGAAAGACTGGTCATGGCTCACATCAACAGCATAATCCCAGAAACCCTAGACCCACTCCAATTTGCATACCGCCCCAACAGATCCACAGATGATGCAATCTCTATCGCACTCCACACTGCCCTTTCCCACCTGGACAAGAGGAACACCTACGTGAGAATGCTATTCATTGACTACAGCTCAGCATTCAACACCATAGTGCCCTCAAAGCTCATCACTAAGCTAAGGATCCTGGGACTAAACACCTCCCTCTGCAACTGGATCCTGGACTTCCTGACGGGCCGCCCCCAGGTGGTAAGGGTAGGTAACAACACATCTGCCACACTGATCCTCAACACGGGGGCCCCTCAGGGGTGCGTGCTCAGTCCCCTCCTGTACTCTCTGTTCACCCATGACTGCATGGCCAGGCACGACTCCAACACCATCATTAAGTTTGCCGACGACACAACAGTGGTAGGCCTGATCACCGACAACGATGAGACAGCCTATAGGGAGGAGGTCAGAGATCTGGCCGTGTGGTGCCAGGACAACAACCTCTCCCTCAACGTGACCAAGACAAAGGAGATGATTGTGGACTACAGGAAAAAAAAGAGGACTGAGCACGCCCCCATTCTCATCGACGGGGCTGTAGTGGAACAGGTTGAGAGCTTCAAGTTCCTTGGTGTCCACATCACCAACGAACTATCATGGTCCAAACACACCAAGACAGTCGTGAAGAGGGCACGACAAAGCCTATTCCCCCTCAGGAGACTAAAAAGATTTGGCATGGGTCTTCAGATCCTTAAAAAATTCTACAGCTGCACCATCGAGAGCATCCTGACTGGTTGCATCACCGCCTGGTATGGCAACTGCTTGGCCTCTGACCGCAAGGCACTACAGAGGGTAGTGCGTACGGCCCAGTACATCACTGGGGCAAAGCTCCCTGCCATCCAGGACCTCTATACCAGGCGGGTGTCAGAGGAAGGCCCTCAAAATTGTCAAAGACTCCAGTCACCCTAGTCATAGACTGTTCTCTCTGCTACCGCACGGCAAGCGGTACCCGGAGTGCCAAGTCTAGGTCCAAAAGACTTCTCAACAGCTTCTACCCCCAAGCCATAAGACTCCTGAACAGCTAATCATGGCTACCCGGACTATTTGCACTGCCCCCCCCACCCCATCCCTTTTACGCTGCTGCTACTCTGTTAAGTATTTATGCATAGTCACTTTAACTCTACCCACATGTACATATTACCTCAACTAGCCGGTGCCCCCGCACATTGACTATGCAACGGTACCCCCCTGTATATATAGCCTCCCTACTGTCACTTTATTCTATTGTATATATAGCCTCCCTACTGTCACTTTATTTTTTACTTCTGCTCTTTTTTTCTCAACACTTTTTTGTTGTTGTTTTATTCTTACTTTTTTGTTTAAAATAAATGCACTGTTGGTTAAGGGCTATAAGTAAGCATTTCACTGTAATGTCTGCACCTGTTGTATTCGGCGCATGTGACCAATAAAATTTGATTTGATTTGATTTGATTTGATTTGAGATCAGCGCAGAAGGCCGTCGCGCTAGCTGACGTGAGACAATGGGGGGGGTTAGTCCTTAAAAATCTATAAACAAAAAACAGTGAAATGTATGCCATGTCTGCAACAAGTTGTGGTCTTGTGTTACTGAACTGTACCCGTTTTCAGTAGTGTGTGTGAGTATCTGAATGTGGTCTTATGCATGGGCGTATCTGAACGTGTGTGTGTGTGTGTGTGTGTGTGTGTGTGTGTGTGTGTGTGTGGGGCTGTGACGGCCATGGAATGTTGGATTTTTGGAGCCAAATGACCACTGTCTACATAATATACCCGTTCGAATAGCAAAAAAATACGCACATTTCCCCTCTCCTCCGCTCTGCATGTGCTGCCATAAATATATAGAATGAATAGAACGGCGTCCCCATTCAAGTCTATGACGGCATAACGGGTGGACTGGCGGCCATTGCGAGTGTAACCATAGAAGCAAAGCAGTAAGTAAAAGCAGGAAGTGTACCCTATCAATATGTGTTGTGATTTGTCGATTCAACTCAACTGACGTTACAGTCGGAAGTTTACATACACTTAGGTTGGAGTCATTAAAACTAGTTTTTCAAACCACTCCACAAATGTCTTGTTAACAAACTATAGTTTTGGCAAGTCGGTTAGGACATCTACTTTGTGCATGACACAAGTCATTTTTCCAACAATTGTTTACAGAGAGATTATTTCACTTATAATTCACTGTATCACAATTCCAGTGGGTCAGAAGTTTACATACACTAAGTTGACTGTGCTTTTAAACAGCTTGGAATATTCCAGAAAATGATGTCATGGCTTTAGAAGCTTCTGATAGGCTAATTGACATAATTTGAGTCAATTGGAGGTGTACATTTACGTCATCACTTATTCAGAGCGACTTACAAATTGTGTACCTGTGGATGTATTTCAAGGCCTACATTCAAACTCAGTGCCTCTTTGCTTGACATCATGGGAAAATCAAAAGAAATCAGCCAAGACCTCAGAAAAATAATTGTAGACCTCCACAAGTCTGGTTCATCCTTGGGAGCAATTTCTAAACGCCTGAAGGTACACGTTCATCTGTACAAACAATAGTACGCAAGTATAAACACCATGGGACCACGCAGCCGTCATACCGCTCAGGAAGGAGATGTGTTCTGTCTCCTAGAGATGAATGTACTTTGGTGCGAAAAGTGCAAATCAATCCCAGAACAACAGCAAAGGATCTTGTAAAGATGCTGGAGGAAACAGGTACAAAAGTATCTATATCCACAGTAAAACGAGTCCTATATCGACATAACCTGAAAGGCCGCTCAGCAAGGAAGAAGCCACTGCTCCAGAACCGCCATAAAAAAGCCAGACTATGGTTTGCAACTGCACATGGGGACGAAGATCGTACTTTTTGGAGAAATGTCCTCTGGTCTGATGAAACAAAAATAGAACTGTTTGGCCATAATGACCATCGTTATGTTTGGAGGAAAAAGGGGGTTGGCTTGCAAGCCGAAGAACACCATCCCAACCGTGAAGCATGGGGGTGGCAGCATCATGCTGTGGGGGTGCTTTGCTGCGGGAGGGACTGGTGCACTTCACAAAATAGATGGCATCATGAGGAAGGAAAATTATGTGGATATATTGAAGCAACATCTCAAGACATCAGTCAGGAAGTTAAAGCTTGGTCACAAATGGGTCTTCCAAATGGACAATGACCCCAAGCATACTTCCAAAATTGTAGCAAAATGGCTTAAGGACAACAAAATCAAGGTATTGGAGTGGCCATCACAAAGCCCTGACCTCAATCCTATACAACATTTGTGGGCAGAACTGAAAAAGCGTGTGCGAGCAAGGAAGCCTACAAACCTGACTCAGTTACACCAGCTCTGTCTGGAGGAATGGGCCAAAATTCACCCAACTTATTGTGGGAAGCTTGTGGAAGGCTACCCGAAACGTTTGACCCAAGTTAAACAATTTAAAGGCAATGCTACCAAATACTAATTGAGTGTATGTAAATCTCTGACCCACTGGGAATGTGATGAAAGAAATAAAAAGCTGAAATAAATCATTCTCTCTACTATTATTCTGACATTTCACATTCTTAAAATAAAAAGTGGTGATCCTAACTGACCTAAAACAGGGAATTTTTACTTGGATTAAATGTCAGGAATTGTGGAAAAACTGAGTTTAAATGCATTTGGCTAAGGTGTATGTAAACTTCCGACTTCAACTGTACATTCCTTTGCATGAGCCACATCGCTTAGCATCTTTTGAATGAACATTCTACATTACCATGGAAATGATTACATCACAATACCAGGCAGCCATTGCTAGTGCACTCACGAGTTCACCAGTCAAATTGACAGGATTTGAGGTTTCCAAGCCCGTTCTATTCATTCTACGTGAGCTGCTGCATTGTGGGGGGGCGTTGCCTAGGCAACCGAAGTCTCGTTCCGCTACAACACCTCGCTTGTTTCAAACAAGGAGCAACAAAGATTCATGTCGTTGTTAAAGAGTCAGAAACGGACTCAACTGAACAAAAAACGCCCGGCCATCCCGTCTTCAGGCAGCTGTTAGTTCCATTTAGTTTCTCCAGTGATGACGGTTATTATATATTTTCATGACGGTCTTCATCCATAACCATCGATTATACGGTAATTGTGCCAGCCCTGTGTGTGTGTGTGTGTGTGTGTGTGTGTGTGTGTGTGTGTGTGTGTGTGTACCTGGTTGCGATCTCGTGCGTTGGCGTATCTAAACCTCTGTATGTAGTAGAAGACTAGCCAGGCCAGCGAGATGATCATCAGGATGATGAAGGAGATGGAGACGAACACCACCGAGGTCCTGCTCACGTACTTCTGGAGGTTACGCGTTCCTATGGTGATGTGCATGGTTACCGTGACGTTCTGCTCTAGCAGAGCAGCGACTTCACGACCTTTAGGCTCGGGGATCATGATGGCGACCACGTCACCCACACCTGAGAGGGAGGGAGGGGAGATTTTAGGACAGGAATACAAATAAAACAGACTCTCTGCCTCTCTCTGTGTGTGTGTGTGTGTGTGTGTGTGTGTGTGTGTGTGTGTGTGCGTGTGAGAGAGAGAGAGTGAGAGAGATATTTATCTTTATTATTTTATTACAATGTATATTGTATACATTGTTGCTTTGGCAATATTAACGCAAATGTTTTTCATGCCAATAAAGCAGCTTGAATTTGAATTTGAGAGACTTCCCTAGGCAGGAGAAGAAGCCATGTGACTGTCTGGGACCTGACTCTTAGAACCTCCACATAGATTCTAAGAACACTGGGACTGTAAACAGAACTCCTGAGTGTTCCATCCTAACATAAACCTCTTTACTTTCTCTATTGACAGGAATAAGGAGTGCGACGGGGCCATTGTGAAATTCCTGACTCCACCACTACGGAACGTCAGGAATGCCGTACGGAATGTTCCAGGTGTATTCCTGGGGGCCTGGACTACTCAACACTTATCGCTGAACACACACACACACACACACACACACACACAGCTATTTATTGCTCCCCAGACCAGATAGAGAGAACACACTCTGATAACAGGCCTTTCTGTGTGTGTGTGTGTGTGTGTGTGTGTGTGTTTACACACATACAGTGGCCAGTTTATTAGGTACACCTCCCCGTTCACGAAAATGGATCACTCCTACAGACAGTGAGTCACGTGGCCGTGGCTTGCTATATAAAGCAGGCAGACAGGCATCAAGGCATTCAGTTACTGTTGGATTGAAGGTTAGAATGGGCTAAACGAGTGACCTAAGAGACTTTGAGCCTGGTGTGATCGTCGGTGCCATGCGCGCCGTATCCAGTATCTCAGAAACGTCCGTCTTCCTGGACTTTTAAACGTACTACAGTGTCTAGGGTTTACTGAGAATGGTGCGACAAACAAAAAAACATCCAGTCAGCAGCAGTCCTGTGGGCGTAAACAGCTCGTTGATGAGAGGTCGAAGGAGAATGGCAAGAATCGTGCAAGCTAACAGGCGGGCCACAAACAGACAAATAACTACGCAGAACAACAGTGGTGTGCAGAACGGTATCTCGGAAAGCACAACTCGTCAGTCCTTGTCACGGACGGGCTATTGCAGCAGACGACCACACCGGGTTCCACTCCTATCAGCTAAAAACAAGAAGAAGCGGCTCCAGTGGGCATGTGATCACCACTGGACAACTGAGGAGTGGAAAAACATCGCCTGGTCCGACGAAACCCGGTTCCTGTTGCGTCATGCTGATGGCAGAGTCAGGATTTTGGTGTATGCAGCATGAGTCCATGGCCCCATCATGCCTGGTGTCAACGGTACAGGCTGGTGGTGGCGGTGGTGTAATGGTGTGGGGAATGTTTTCCTGGCACACGTTAGGTCTCTAGATACCAATTGAGCAACATTTCATGCCCCAAAGAATTCTTGCTGTTCTGGAGGCAAAGAGGGGTCCGAATCTGTACTAGATGGGTGTACCTAATAAACTGGACTGAATGAATGCGTGTGTGTGATGGACATACATACACTATACAGTACATTCGGAAAGTATTCAGAACCCTTTACTTTTTTCCAGATTTTCTTATGTTACAGCCTTATTCTAAAATTGATTATATTGGGGTTTTTTACTCATCAAACTACACACAAAACACCATAATGACAAAGCAAAAACAGGTTTTTATATGTTTTTGCAAAAAAAATATATATATATATATAGAAATATTACATTTACGTAAGTATTCAGACCCTTTACTCAGTACTTTGTTGAAGCACCTTTGGCAGCGATTACAGCCTCGAGTCCTCTTGGGTATGGCGCTATAACATTTACATTTTACATTTTAGTCATTTAGCAGACGCTCTTATCCAGAGCGACTTACACCAGCAATTAGGGTTAAGTGCCTTGCTCAAGGGCACAGACAGATTTTTCACCTAGTCGGCTCGGGGATTAGAACCAGCGACCTCTCGGTTACTGGCACAACGCTCTTAACCACTAAGCTACCTGCTACAAGCTTGGCACACCTGTATTTGGGGAGTTTCTCCCGTTCTTCTCTGCAGATCCTCTCAAGCTCTGTCAGGTTGGAGGGGGAGCGTCACTGGACAGCTATTTTCAGGTCTCTCCAGAGATGTTCGATCGGGTTCAAGTCCGGGCTCTGGATGGGCCACTCAAGGACATTCAGAGACTTGTCCCGAAGCCACTCCTGTGTTGTCTTGGCTGTGTGCTTAGGGTTGTTGTCCTGTTGGAAGGTGAACCTTCGCCCCAGTCTGAGGTCCTGAGCAGGTTATCATCAAGGATCTCTCTGTACTTTGCTCCGTTCATCTTTCCCTCCATCCTGACTCGCCTCCCAGTCCCTGCCGCTGAAAAACATCCAACAGCATGATGCTGCCACCACCACCATGCTTCACCGTAGGGATGGTCCCAGGTTTCCTCCAGACGTGACGCTTGACATTCAGGCCAAAGAGTTCAATCTTGGTTTCATCAGATCAGAGAATCTTGTTTCTCATGGTCTGAGAGTATTTAGGTGCAATGTTCCAACATCTAGTGGAAAGCCTTCCCAGAAGAGTGGAGGCTGTTATAGCAGCAAAGGGGGGGACCAACTCCATATTAATGCCCAGGATTTTGGAATGAGATGTTTGACGAGGTGTTCACATACACTACATGACCCAAATTATTTTTTTAAAATTAGAACAGAGACTTATTTAGTGTTGTTAACACTGTTTCAAATGGTCAGAAAAAATTATAATATTGTAATCTAACAGCAACTGTTTGGCACACATAATACTCACAACGCTTGCTCCTATAATCCTCCTTTTTCTTGATCTCCAGTAGTTTCCACAACTAAGTCAAACGTCTTCCACAGTATCTGACTTCCCCTTTCCCTCCTGAGCAACCAGTAAACATTCGCCCATTTCCAGTTTCTTTTTCACGCCCTCTGCATCCATTTTTTTGATGTCACGGTGTTCAGAGTTTGTTATAACCAATTGATCGATGTGATTATGAAACTAAAATGGCTGAAATTATGTTGCAGCTTCAGCAAGGACAGCGCAATAAATCACTTGCTTTGCTGTGGTGCCTTTTGGAGAGCGTTGCTGTGGTGCCTATTGGAGAGCGTTGCTGTGGTGCCTATTGGAGAGCGTTGCTGTGGTGCCTTTTGGAGAGCGTTGCTGTGGTGCCTTTTGGAGAGCGTTGCTGTGGTGCCTTTTGGAGAGCGTTGCTGTGGTGCCTATTGGAGAGCGTTGCTGTGGTGCCTTTTGGAGAGCGAGACAACGTGCGCCTGTCACACAGGCACTCGCTGTCATTTTATTTATTTTTTTAAACACAGTGTGACCATCGGGCTCTTAATTATTTAATCAAACAGTGTGCTTAAAGCATCAGACAAACTCAGTGCATACGGAGTTAGATTTTATTCAAACACACAGGGGTGTGTCTGTCTATATATGGAAAAAGAAAAGTTTAAACATTTCGACCAATCGATTGGTCCGAGAGAAACAGGACGACTCTCGGTCGACCAAGATTTATTTTAGTATTTTTATTATTATTATTATTAATAGCAGCTCGCCGTGTCTTTTAATATCGACGAATATTTCACTCTCTGATCGTAGAAACATGAATTTGTGCATGAGGCAGATGTGGATACGGCATGACGAGTTTCGCAATCAGGTGGAAGACTGACCAGAGAGAGGAGACACAGTCTCACCGGAGGAAAGGAGAGGACCCCCCCCCCCCCCCCCCCCCCCCTTCCTCGGAGAAGGAGAGGACCCCCGTCTTTGCCGAAGTCGCTAGCATATGTCAATACACCCACGTTTCTAAGAACAGTTATATGACTGGCATACTGACAATCAGAGATCTGTTAGTATTATCTCTGGAAATCAGGATCAAACGCTCCAGGTCTCTCTCAGACACACACCAGGTCACTGGGTTCCTCAGCCAGGGGCCATTCCAGGCAGTCTGGATCCTGGTTCTAGGATGGTTTGACATATTTACACATAGCTAGCTACATACACACATACATAAACACACACGCCCTGGATGATCGCCGTTAAACAAGCAATTCAGCGATGCATAACAACTCCACACTTGTGTGACCCGATAAATCATATGACGATCTGGCTGGCTAGACAATACCTGAATGTGGCATTGTGATAGTATCATTGGAGTTGCTGGATCCAACGTTGAATATGACGATGGCCGTGGCGTTTTGGCTCGCCGCGTGTCTTATCTTGTCTTTATAGGTGCAGTTTCCCCTGGCTATCAGGGCTATCCACGCACTGCCCTGGACCGGAACCGCGAACCGAGTACCGGGATCACAGGCTTGTCTGTCCCGGGAGAGAGAAGGAAGCACCACGACTCCTTTTGCTTCCCGTTTTAGCGAGTGTTCCCCGTATCGGCCGCATTCAGTTTTCTCCGTCCGGACTTCGGAGGTAACCGGGTCTACGTAGGTGATGTTGACGAAGGCTGTGTACCATTCCTCTCTCTCGGCCACGGTGAAGTCCAAACAGAGGAGGTGAACGAAACAAAACGACAGGAGCCATGTAGACAGGGCTAAACTACGGCAGGCCTGCATCAACGACATGGCCATAGCTATCTGGGTTTCGGTATTCCCCCTCTCTCTCTCTGTCCGTAGGGCAGCAGGTTCTGTGGTACCGTCGACAAACTAAACTAGGTCCCGTTAGCTAGCGGGTTGTTCTTCTCCTCCCCCCGGGTCTCTCCCTCTCTTCTTTGTGAACACACACACACTAACCTCCGAAACGACGCCTCCTCCCTGTACTAGCTAGCTAATGTCGGCTTGCTGATAGCCGAACACATTTCCATTTTCAAAACCTCAAGTCAAATTTTTTTTTTTATAAATAAACAGCTTGTTCCCGGCGACGAAACGGTAACCCTGCAACCGTTGCATCGATGTTGACACTCACGCCTTTAGTTGCAACGACATTATAACGTTTGTTTGGTTATAATAATGGTCCACGAAGTGTTTCTGTCCTTTTTGTAATCCTTCAGAATAAAAGTCCCGTCCTGTATACTTTCTAAATGAATAATGAGGACGGAAATTATGGAAAATGTGCACAGTTATCGATATTTTATACTACTTATCAAACAAAGAATAATTAAAAGTATTTCTAAGATGTCATGTTTATTTTTTTAATTTTTTTTAAAGCCTAAACGGTCAACGTTTTTTTGTATTTTGTACAAAATTATCTGTACATTGTGTTGCAGCAAAAGCTGGTACCACGTAATATAACTGTAAAAATGTATTAATAATAATAATAATAATAATATGCCATTTAGCAGACGCTTTTATCCAAAGCGACTTACAGTCATGCGTGCATACATTTTTGTGTATGGGTGGTCCTGGGGATCGAACCCACTACCTTGGCGTTACAAGCGCCGTGCTCTACCAGCTGAGCTACAGAGGACCTTTAATGTGCCATCAACACAACCAGTCATGATGTTTTCATCTGATTGTCAAAACAAATCACTTCAAAAAGTAGGTTCATTTAGCACGTTCATCCAAAAGGATTCCAGCATCCGAAAAATGCACTGTGCACCGGCCAACTTTCTTTCAATTCACAAATGTCTGAAACTATCTCACTGGAGAAAGCATCCGAGTGAGCGAAACAGCGCCCCCTCTGTCTTACTATACGTTGCCAGTGTATCTGATGCTGTCTGGCCAAAAAGAGTATGACATGCCATATAGAAAGTCCACACCGCCTTTGGATTTCTTTACATTTTATGGCGTTACAAAGTGGGATTTGGTATTTTATTAGGATCCCCATTAGCTGTTGCAAAAGCAGCAGCTACTCTTCCTGGGGTCCACACAAAACATGAAATAATGCAGAACATTAATAGACAAGACCAGCTCAAGGACAGAACTACATAAAACATTTTAAAGGCACACGTAGCCTACATATGTAATACATACACACAAACTTTCTTGGTCAAATAGGGGAGAGTGGCCGGGAAGTGCAAAGCAACATTACAAAGAATGAAACACTTTTACAAAGCTCGAGACAAATTTACATTTTGGAAAACAAATTTACATTTTATAAAACAAATTTACATTTTATAAAACAAATTTACATTTTATAAAAGAAATTTACATTTTATAAAAGAAATTGACAAGACGCAAAACACTTTTACCAGTCCCGAAACAAATTTACAAATGACAGATTCGTCACGGAAAGGGAATGTACCACAAACCGGATGTGACGAGCGTTGTTTTTTCGTGTTGTTGTTGTGGAGTTTATGGCGTCAAAGTAGTTTATGGTGACCGCCCGAACATGGACTGCGGCCGAGAGATGTTTTGCCCGTTTTGTGGCAAACACATGAACAGCTTAACGCGGTTTTGCTTTACGTGTGGTCGGTGTTTGGAGTTTTTAAAGGACGCGGACCAGACGGAAACACCAGACATACTGCATCATTGCGTTCAATATTTTAACGAGGGTCACTCGTACGCTGTAATCGTGGACATGATGTCAAGTCTACACGGTGTAAACATCAGCTTGAGGACTCTTAAAAGTAAACTGAACGAAGCCGGGTTGTACCGCAGAAAGGATTATTCCTCGCCAAACGCCGTGAGTAACGCCATCAGATTTGAACTTCGTGGACCTGGACAACTATTTGGTTACCGCACGATGTGGCAAGTACTTAAACAAAAGTACAATCTTCGAGTGAAGAGAGATGATGTGATGAATTTGCTCCGGGAGCTTAATCCTCGAGGGTGTGAGAGCAGAGCACGCAGAAGGTTTACAAGAAGAACCTACCACTCAATGGGACTAACTATATGTGGCACGCAGATGGTTATGACAAACTTAAGCCATTCGGTTTGGCCATTTCGGGATGCATAGATGGATTTTCACGTAAAGTATTGTGGCTTCAATGTGGACCAACAAATAATAACCCAACAGTGATTGCTCACTATTTCATGTCATGTGTGCGAAACCTCGGTGTCATCCCCATGAGACTGAGGACTGATTGCGGCACTGAGAACGGCATAATGGCTGCAATTCAATGTACCCTACGCCACCATCACAGTGACTACTACTCTGGAGCGTCCAGCCACATGTACGGCTCATCTATAAATAACCAGCGTATTGAGTCCTGATGGTCTATATTTAGAAAGGGAAGGTAAGTTGTCTTCATAAAGGGTCATTGCATCTTTTGGTCATTCGATTTTCTTCTCAGTAACGATTAATGAAAAACGAGCACAATAATTATCAATACAAATTTGTAAAGCAAATCCTGCCCGTCAGGAAAAGTAGCTGTTCCTGAAAAGAAAATCGAATGACCAAAAGATGCACAGACCATACATTTCATTATAACTAACCTTTATTATTTATAGTATAACTAAACATTTGTATCCATTTCTATAGGTCTCAGTTCTGGATGGAGTTATTTGCCGACCTTAGAGATGCCGGATACTTCAACGGGAGTCATGAGCATCAATGCCTATTGAGATATTGCTTTGGTGATGTTATTCAGAAGGACTTGGATGAGTGTGTGAGACTGTGGAACAGCCACAGGATTCGCCCTTCCAGAACAGCAGCATGTCCAGGAGGAGTGCCCAATGAACTCTACTACTTACCACACAGGTGATACATTGGTGATAATAAACAGATAAAAGCATTAATGTAACGTTTTAGCTTAAATGAAAATAAATGCAATTATGTATTCTATTTAACATAGGTTTGACTCCAGAGACTGCGGAATTCAAAGTGAACAAGCTGAACTGGATGCCCTTCCTGAGGCTAGCCGGTCAATGACTCCTTGTGGGGACCCAAACATGCAGGAGTACTTGGACTTTGCCATGGAACACAATCAGTTACAGAAGCCAGACAACTGGGAGTCTGCATCCGAACTGTACATGAAACTAAAAGAAATGGCTCAGCTATGAAATGATCAAAAAGGGAGGGTTTTTTTGTAGTGGTGGAATACTGCTGTCTGTCTGAACACAATATTTATGAATCTGTCACCCAAAGCTTAATTGTTTTTAAGTGTGAAGTAAATTAATCAAAAATAGTAATCAGTATTTATTACACTTTTGTAGTATTGAGAGTAATGGATCTAAAACATTTTCAAAATGTTTACTGTGAGAAAAGAACATGCTCACATACAGTAACATTATAAAAACAACTTTGGCAACTGCACTTTAAAAGTGCACCTTTAATAGGGTTGGGCATCAAGAACCAATTCCTACTTGGAATAGTTTAAAAAAATACGATTCCATCGGAATTGTTTCTTTATTGGAATCGTTTTGGAGGATTGGGTTTCAAATGTGATCATGGGTTCCAAATTTAACATGCGCAAGTTTTGGTTTCTGTAGCGGCCAGGTGCTTGTTGTGTTGCAGCCATGGAGCACAGTAAGCGGTGCTCTAGTGTGGCTTTATTTTACATTGAAAAAGCCCCGTCAAACTGCAACCCACCTTTGAATCAAAATAAAACGTTCCTCTTATTTGTGAAATAAGCATGTGACCCGTTTCAACTCCACCACTCAAAGAATCGGAATCGAGAATCGATAAGAACCGGAATCAAAAGGAAGAATCGGAATTGGAATCAGAATCGTTAAAATCTAAATGATGCCCAACCCTAACCTTTAACAACAACAACTTTTTCAGAGTCTTAACTCTAGGGGTCATCCATCATATAGCTTAGAAACAGCCGAATCCTGGACTATTTTGAATTCCAAAGTCCATTTGTGACTTAAACAAAGTGTATGAGTCTAGGAGTGGTAATCTCAAGGAGTTTGAACATGTATTTGCCATTGGGAACGCAGAGTCCTCCAGGAACTCTATTTGTGGCAGTGGTTCCAAGCCAGATGGGGGAAGTGAAGACAGCCCAGTAGCAAACATCAAAACATCTTCCACAGACACAGCAGCCTGGCCTTCTGCAAAGAAAAACAATTCAGATACATCACTGCCATGTGTTTTCTTAACTAGTTATAAAAAACAAACTAACAAACCTTCACAATCAAGGAGATAGTCTGCCCAGTAGGCCATGGTTTGACTTTCTTTAAGTCTTCGATTACTCCCCGAAGGACTAAGGTCAGGTTTGAAGAGTCTCTCAAGCTCAAAAGCATTGAGTCGCCTTTCAGAGTGGCACATGACAGGGGCCAGCAAAGTAGGGTGTTGCTGTAGTGCAGTCAAAAACTCCAGGGTTGAAAGACCATCTCTGAATCTACAGAGTGAACACAAACATTGTTTCACTGCTGTGTAGTGCCAATTGAATTTAAAAATGATCTAAAGAAAACTATTAAATATTCTCTTCTCTACAATTACTATCCACCTTAACATTGTTGAAAATGGATTTCAAAAACCCTATTTTTGCATTGCACATTAAACGTTAATTGTTACAAACTGTAAGTATAACACACAGAAACAAAAGACTGGAATGACACAGACGGATGGGTGGCTTGAGCACTCACACGATGCCTTCAGAAAGTCTACACACCCATTGCACTTTTTCACAACTTTGTTTCGTTATAGATTCAATTTAAAATAGTAATATTCATCTTTTTCCTCATCAGCCTACACACAATACATCATAATGACAAAGCAAAAACAAGTTTTTAGAAATTGTAGCAAATTTAATAAAAATTAAAAACTGGAATATCACATTCGCACAAGTTAATTAAC